TTGATGGGCTCAGGCAGGGCAGGGGAGAGGGGCTTTGCTGGTCTATGGGGAGTGGGGGAGGGGCAGGGGGGCATAAAAATAGTCCAGTGCCTTAGGGTGGGGGGAAGTTAGGAAAAGTACAGCCTGGGCTTGGGGCCAGCAGCTGGGCTTTCCCAGCCCCAGGGATGTGCTGGGAACTGTTCAGAAATTCAATCAGATTGGTCTTGCCAGACCTGATCTAAGTTAGACTGCCTCGGAGGTAGTGTTAACTTGGATTGGATCAGCCAGTTTTACACCAGTCTAAACTTTCTGAACTTCTATCATTCACAGTTAGGTCAATCTAAGTGTAAGGTCCACACCTGGGCAAACTAAGTTAGATGGGGTGGCCATTTTTACATGATCTAATTAACCTGAACATCCGTATGTACTCTATGTATTCTATTTATCCTGTCCTTAGATAATAATTAAACATTTAATTTGGTCATCTTCATAAATTGGATGAGCCTGATCAAACAATAGCAAACAACCAGCTGGGAACTACCCAACAAATTTAGTATTATTTTGCCCACTAATCAGTTGGAGAGATTGCATTTTGAGCCTCAGGAGATTCTCTCAAAACAAGACCCCCTCACCACTACCTTCTGTATTTTACGAGCATGGTTCCTACCAATTTTCTTAATCTAACTGTGGAGAATTCCTGTATTAAAACCATTTCCAGTCCTGTGTTTTCAGCTTCCAAGTTACTTCTAAGTTAAGTTGCTTTATTGAAGAAAAATGTGGAGTAAAAGTGATACTTAGGAAAGGTGCCATATTACCAGTACTGATGACTGAAGTCTTTAAAACAAAACCAAACTAAACTTTAACCTTCTGAAACATGCACAATGAAGCTACAAGTTGCCCTCCCATGTTTTGCCCCCTGCTGAGCATTTACATTACTGTTGATTGGTGGCTCTTATCACTAGGAGTTGAGAGGGGAGCAAATTCTCTGTTCTCATCTAATTCTTGATCTTTTGTCCTGAAGCTGCCAAAAAAAAAAAAAAAAGGTCAATTAGCTCCAGTATTAGTATTCTGATGTGGGCATCCTGTCTACTCGGAGCTGGCTTGAGACTAACAAACTTACTACATCCAGACCACTGAATTGGGAGCTAAGTTTGTTTGTAGCCATCTGAGACCTAACTCCATTGAGGTTTTGACCAGTCAAAATAAATAGAAACTAGTCGCATTTCTCCCAAGTTCTGAAACTCTGCCTTAGTTGTGGGTTATACTGTGTCTGGACATTTAAGTACAGTAAGTAATTATATTTTGTTGCAGTACTTCTTTTCCTCTATATAATAAATGTGAGTTTGTTACTTCTACAAAGATAAAGACTCACTATCCTTAAGAGCAGAATCGGTTTACAAATACAGCTTGCATAACTTGGTCAACGCATTTCATCTCAACCCTACCCTTCCCTTCCTAAAAAGGCTACTTAATTCAATCTGGGTTTTTAAATGGAAGAATACTCAACTGCACTTTATGACAAAGACCAATCTCCCTCATCACTTAGTAACCACAGATATAAGAGGGAAGATCAGACTCCAATAAAAGCAACCACCAAACTCACTGAGGAAAACAGTTATGCTGTTACTGGAAAGTAAAACTGCCTAATACAAGTGGAAAAACAAACAGGCTTGATAAGTCCATTATGCCATACTAGCAAAGATGACTCTCCGGACTTTCAAAAAATACATATTTGAGCAACACAAAACCAGTAACACTCCCCACCAAAAAAGTTTCCATTTTTACCCAAATAATGCATCAGTTCTCAGCAAGTCCAATCTACGCAGCAAACAGCAACACCAAGACATTGTACCATTTAAAAAATACTTTCTAGAAGTTTCGTAAGTGCCAAGTTTAGCAAGTTTGGCAAGTTTCATTAATGTCATGCATACAATTAAGGATAACAACAACAACAGCAACAACATTATCACTATTATGATGTTTACCTTTGTACAAGAGCTAGCACAATGGGATTCTGGCACCTACAAGCAAACAAACAAGAGCCAGGATAGGACTTCTGTCTTTCCCCCTTTCCCAGTGCACACAAGTCTTGCAGGTAACACCCATTTGCATTAAAAAAGCACTTTCATTCTAACCAATTGCTTTTTCCTTCTCCACAACAGAACTGAAAGTACAAGTAGCCTTAGCATGTAATACTTACTCCATCATAGAGGGTGGAATAGTACAGCAGTCTTGGATTGCAGTCAAGGGCGAGGTCAGATGAGCCGTATATGATGCTTCCACTACCTGTTTGTTACGATTCACCACATCCAAGTAGCGGTTAAACTTCTCACGGATTTTTTTTGCCAGCTGGAAGCAAAATTAAAAACCACTGAAAATTAAGTCAAAGACACTTTGTATTATTCTTCTGCCATGCTTATGAACAGTTATCCCAGTTTTCTGATTTAAAATCCACTTTTTTCCATGATTAAAATGGAACACCACTATCTTCCATTTAATCGTGGAAAAAATGTGAATTTGGGGTTACTTTTTTTTTTTTTTTTTTTAACCAAAAATTGGGGATTTTTTAAAATCAGAGAAAACCAGGATCCCTGCTAATGAACCTGTGTTAAAAGAAACAACATGTCTTTATTAAAATGACACTTTTTATCTTTATTAAAGATAAAAATTCTAGGCCTTCTTCATCATATCACTTCATTTTCACAGTGTAGGAAGGATGAGCATCATACCAAGTCAAAAGACGGACAAACTGACCAAGAAAGCCATCAATTTAATATGATGAAATATATCCCCAGCTGTACAACACTTAACCAACACTGTCACTTTTCATGCATGTATTTCATTACATCCAACTCTCTATTAAGGCAGCAAGCATCTTAGGAATTGGTTGAAGCTCTTAGTAGTGCTACTTTACTTCCACCCTAGTCAAACACCTCAATTTGTTCTAAGAACAAATAAGGACATGATGGAAATCAAAATAAGTAGGCAAAAGTATAAAACATGAGCATGGGCACCTACATCCATACAAGAAACCCAATTTACAGAGTTGTCAAACACCCAGAAAGCAAATCAATTTCAGGGTCCTTTGGGACTTGCCTGGAGTGTTTGTATATGTTGGGAGTTGGAGGAGCAGGATCCACTCTCCTACTGTATTAAGGTGTTCAACTTTAGATACTCTAGGTCCAGGTATTCTTTCAAATTCAATAAACAATAAAGCAATGAAATGCAGCAAACAATATTACCAGAAAAAAAATAGGATTTGCAAGAAACAGGTACTGGGCTTTTTGCTTCAGTATACCCTAGGTATAGAAATGACTTGACAAAACCACTAAAAAGGCTGTACACCAAGAAATGCAATTGGCTGCTTCAGATACCCAAGACTGACAAATGCCTTTCCTAACTATTATTAACAGGACTTTTCATCATGATTTATTTCTTTATGTGAATAATGAGACCCATACTGATAACAGCAGTTACTTTGCCTCCATTGTTCCCATCAAATACTACAACTCAATTACAGGTCTCCAAGGAGCACAGTTTTTAACAGAATGTTGTTCAAATGAAATGAGTGGTTGAATTATAACTAATTGGTTTTGTAGAATGATTTATTACTAACACACCAGAGGACTATTAATGACCTTCTCCAAGTTCTGCATCTAACACTATTAAAGTGCTTTCAATTTTGGGGTAGTAACAGAGGCGGTACTCACTTTTTCTTTCTTTTTGCCTGTGCCCTTCAACACATTAAATGTAACACCCAAAATACCTGATCCCCTTAAGCTTTGTGACAATTCAGACAAGCCAACATTTAAAAATCCAGTGTTTAAATTTCATGTCACAATACTTTGGTCTCAAGCTTGGGCAACTGAAGTGGCTTTAGTCAGCAAGCTCTGTAGAAACCAGACCTTTGAATCAACACACCATAACCTTCAGTTCCATATTAAAAGTTATGGGGAGTACAGAGAGCTTGAGTCTGCTGATAAAAAAGAACCATGAGTTTCATTAACAGTAACAAAATTAATACAAACCACATGTAAAAAACAGCTACATAAGGGCACTTCTTTAGAATCCTTTCTAGTTAGAGGAATACTGGATGTAGTGAGGTTTCTGGTACAGAATTTACTTTGTTTTGGTTTCATTTTGCTGTTCCCGATTATGTAGTAAGAAACCCATGCCCTTACGGCTTCTCTCTCTCCTTGCATCCAAAGTCTACAGATCTGAGAAATCCGTCTGCAGAACTGTCTTTATTAGGGGTGCGTGAAGCAGGCAGTATTCAATTCGGATTCAGCCCGACTAGGGGGACAGCGATTTGATTCACTGATTTGGATCACTGTCCCAATTCGAGTCCCCTGAATCTGAAGATTCAATTCTGATTTGGAGAATCAGTGATTTGGCCATAGACACAGCTTTATATGTTTATATGTTTTTTGTATGTACAGCGAGGTACCAGGCACGGCTCGTGAATGGTGAGATGGTAGGTTGGATGGAGTGTCCCACGGGAGCATGGGGGGGGGCTTCCCCCATGCGCTTGGTGACAG